GTGACAGTGGGCACCGAGGGTTTCCCAGCTCACGGCCTCCCCTGTGGAGAAATCACGTGGGCCACAGCTGTCCTGTAGCCTCGCTCGCTTGACTCCATTGTGCAGTTGCTATCCTTCAACACCAAGCCAGAAACCAGACGGACCCAAATCAAAACGCCAAACTCCTCTGTGGCCGCACCCTGCCCCTCCCCGCTCACTGCTAACCCCTGGCGACCACTAATCGGTTCTCCATCTCTGAACTGTCGTCAAAAGGTCGCATAAAGAGATGGCCGGACCTGGACTAATTTATTGAGTCCTTACAACTTTATGAAGTAGGCATAGGTTCTATTATCATTATCCCCATTTTTCAGGTGGGGGACACAGGCACAGAAAGTTCAGTGACTACTAGATTGCAGAACTAGAATATAAGCCAAGGCAGGCGGTTTTTAGAACTCAATCTCTTAACCACTACTCTATATTAAACAGAAAGTAGCATGTATGGGAGTCAGAGTTGGGTCATATATGGGGACTAAGAGCAGATAAAGATGACCTATGTGCTCCTGGGTCAGGGAACTTTGGTCATACAGTAGGACACTGATCCAACTAGAAATACTGAAGAGAGATATACAGGGAGTAATATGAAAATTTTGATTTGGTTCAAGGTAGAATTTGGTGCATGTGGGATATCAGGGAAGATATTCATTCAATAGATGGTTGGCCATATGGATTGGAGCTTAGAGAAGAGTGTAGGGCTAGAAATAGAATATTGGAAGTCATGGACATAAAGGCAGTAATTGAAGCCACAGGAAAAGAAGTGATTTCCTGAGGAGAAGTGTGTAGAGTTAATAGAGACCAGGAAATTCTATGTATCAACATAAAGTATCGATTCTCTGACGGTGGAATCTGAGATGGAGCAAATGTTCTTTTTGAGGGTGGCTGCAGAGTGTCAAGGAATTAAGAGAGCAAGTAGGGCAGGGAAGAGGGACTGAACTAAACATCTTTTTCCCCCCAAACCTCATCTTCCCCATTCAGTTCTACCCCAGTAGATGGCACTACTATCGACACAACCAGAAAAGTGCAGACTAGGGGTCATCTCTTATCTTCCTATCTCCTTTACCTCTCATACCCAACTTGTTATCAAGGTCTGTGGTCTGTTCTTTCAAAATTTATCCTAAAAGGAACTATGGAGAGGAAGGAGGAGAGGAAAGAGGAAGAGCGGGGGACTATAATGGATCGAATTATATTCCATGCATATAGGATATATCAAGTGTACCCCACTGTTATGTGTAAATATGATGCACTAATAAAAATATCTTTAAAAAAGAAAAAAGAGATGGTAGGAGTGCCTTCCCAGCGCTGCTCCACTGAACCCCTGGGCCAGGTGCCCTTGCAGCACTTGGCATCCCACGGTTCGGGGCCTGGGATCGCCCTGGGATCTTAACTGCGAGTTTCAGCTGGTGGCACTGACCGTCCAGGTGGCATTTGCCACCCGACTGCAGTCAAGTGGCCTTCCTTGGTCTCTGTCCACTCCACAGAGGAGTTGTTCGACCTTTTGCTGTTGAGTCAGGGTCTTTTTTACGTTCCACGTGCGACCCTTTGCCAAGCAAACACTTTGCAGATATTTCCTCCTCCTCTGTGGCTTGCACTTCTCTCCAGGACCTGTCACAGAGCAGGGCTTGCTGCTCCATTGTCAGGCCGATGGACTTTTCTTTACTGGTTGTGCTTGGGGTGTTCCTCCTGCAACTCACCACACCCTGTGTCTTACACACTTGTCTCGTGTCTATTTCTAAGTGTTTTGGTTTCACCATTCTGCTCCACAGTCACATCCAGGAATAAATACTCAAGTGGGTGGAGTGATTTCTCCTATTATACTCTTATATTCCGGATTTATTATAGCTATCCTAGGGCCTGTGCCCATGCATATAAATTTTGCAGTAAGCTCATCTATGTCTGCAGGAAACCTTGCTCTGCTGAGTCTCTTGATCCATGAGCAGAGTGTATCTCTTGGTGTTTTTAGATCTTGGATTTCTTTCCACGGCGTTTTGCAGTTTTGGCATACAACCCATGTACTGTTTTGTTAGATTCCCACCCAAGTATTTCTATTTTGAAGCATTTGTACAGGTATAGTTCTAACTTTTGCTTAGATGTATTCATTATTAATATTTAGAAATGCGATTTATTTTGTATATTGGTCTTAAATCCTGCAAAGTTGATAAACTTGCTTAATTTTTTTGAGTTTTTCTTTTCTTTTTGTAAATTTCTCAGGCTTTTCTTTATTAACAATCATGCCATCTGAGAAAGGAGACAGTTTTATTTATCCCTTTCTGGTCTGCATCTTTTAATCTCATTTTTATTTATTTATTTGTTTGCTCATGTTTGCTTTGTGTAGGGTCAGATACCCACTATGACCTTAGGTGGACATGGGCCAGTGGACCTCCTTGTCTTGTCCCTAACCCTGGGGGGTATTTGGTTCCCCCTTACTATCAAGCCTGATATTGGTTCCAGATGTTCTTCACAAAGTCGAGGAAGTTCCCTTCCATTCTTGACTTGAAATTTTTATCAATGGCATTGAATGTTGTCAAATAAACCTTCGTGCACCAATTAACACAACTGTGATTTTTTTTCATCTTCATGTGGGAGATTACATGGACTGACTTTTGAATATTGAGTGAGCCCTGAAAGTCTGAGATGAAGTCCGTTTGGTCAGGGTTTGTAACTTCTTTCTGTATCTTGCTGAGTTTTGTTATCTATGAGTTTTAAGGTATTCTATCTTCAGGAGAAATATTGGGCTATAAGTTCTTTATTTTTGAAGTCACCCCCCAATTTTAGTGTCCAGGTAATTGTAGCTTCATAAAGTGAATTAGAAAGTATTCCCTATTTTCTGGGTGAGATTGTATAGAATTAGTGTTAATTCTTTAAAATTTTCTAAAAATCTCTCATCAAGCCATCTGGGCCTAGAGATTTCTTTCTCACTTAAAACAGATAAAAAAAAACCCATAAGGTTAGAGCCATAAAACTCATAAAACTCTTTAGAAAAGTACAGGCCACAAACCCAAAAGTAGACACACTGACTACCTAAAATGTAAAACTCTCATGTCCCAAGGAGATGACAGGCCTGCAAGCACAATCTACAGAACGGGGAAAATATTTGCAAATTGCGTATCTGATAAGGCATTAATATCCAAAGCACACAAAGACCTCCTGCATCTCAACAACAAAAATACCTGATTAACAAATAAGCAAAGAACATGAACCAGCTTGTTTTGCAAAATTCCGGCAGTGAGACTCTTCAGCCCCCACCGCACTGTCTTCAGCCCCCACCCCGTCTAAACTGTTAGGACAGAACCAGGCTAGAAAGAGGGAAGGGAGGGAGACTGAGGGACGTCAGAAGGAAGCGGTGAGTGCAGGGCGGAGCCGGTGGCCACAGTGGCTCTTGGGGGAGCTCTGCCTTCCTGTCAAGGAAGAAATAGGCCCGGGGCCAAGAGTCCACCTCCTCAGCCCCGCCCTCTGGGGGGAACTGGACGAATCAGTTTGCAGTGGACAAGCATCCAGTGCACAGTGGGTGGTGTGGCCAGCCACAGTGGACATTCCATACGTGGCCATTCCTAATGCCAAATGGGGTGCAAACCGATGGCCTGATTAGGTGACACCTCTGCAGGATTCCTGTGGAGACTCAGAACCATGTGACGCGCGTGACCTACTGCCTGTGAGGTGGCCCAAGGAAGAGAGTCCCGCGAGCACCTGACCCCTCTCACCTGGGGGACTCCAGCCCCGCAGGTCAGTCGCCTGCTAGGCTGAGGCCAGCTCTGCTGGGGGCTGAACGGAGACGCTGTCCACCAGGGTGTGAAGGTCGAGGCCTCAGCCGTATTGCGGACCCCTCCCTTCTGCACAGGGTGGCAACGGATGGCGTCACTCTTAAGCCTCAGGAGACTTCAGCCAACTTGACCCAAGAGCTGCCCCTGAAAGTCTTTTGAATTGGAAGCCAAAGAAAGCCGTGAGACCAGGTCCAGGTGAATTCCCAGGGTCCTGAGAAGGAAGACAGGGCTTCCAAGCTGCGAATCTGAGGCCCCTCCAGTAGCTGGCTGGAGCGAGGGGCTCACGGAACACGCAGCTGCAGAGAACAGTCCCCAGAGACCTGGCAGCAGGTGTCCACCCGGCCGGCAGCTGGAGTTGGGGCCTTGGACAAGAGATGCTGGTGAGCGGAGGGTATAGGAAAGGGGCGCCTCCCAGGTCAGAGGCTTGAATGTGGGGTCAGGGTGGAGAAGAGAAAGACAGACTAGGTGCAGTGTGGACCCAGAAGTCAGTCAATGCCCACCCAGCGCCGTGACGGTCAGGCAGTGCGCAACGTCCACGTACGGCCATGTCAACTCACCAAGGCACCTCGCAGGCCTGTTCCAGGGCCAAGCCAGGCCCAGCTGGCCCCAGCCCACTGCAGGGCTGGCAAGGGACAGGTGCCAGGAGCCAGCCAGTCCCCACGGGGCAGGACAGAAACTCAGAAGGCCCCCAACTATCACGGGGAGGAAGCACAACTGCTCTGAATCTGGCTCTTGCTCTCTCACCAGCCAGTGACGGTCGGGACCACACTCTCCCGGGATGTTCAAGGGCAGCAAGCTGAGGCTCCCGGTCAGCTGCAGGATCGTGAGTGGGAACAGCCTGTGCTCTGCAGGTGCTGTGACCCTGACATCGGGAGGTCAGGGTGCTAAGGCGTTCTCCACTGACGAGGTTCTGAACTCACAGCAGGTTTACAGGGACGTTATGGCCCCATCGAAGTCGGAAGTGGCTGCAGATTCTGATGGGAGGGACAGGCGGGGGCCTGTCAGGGCTGAGGTTGGGCGGCCTCCTCTCTGCCCCCTGCCCCTCGAGGAAGGCAGCTCCTCTTCCCTGAGCCCTAAGGGACCAAGCAATGGTTTCTGTGAAATCCAGGTGTCAAGGAAGCTGAAGGGAGGTCAGTGGGCACGAGTCGGTGGGCACGTGGGGAGGCCATGGAACTGGGGAAGAGAGCGTCCAGCGAGCCGCACAGGTTCTGGGATGGGGCCTGCAGGTGGGAGCAGGGGGCTTGCTCCGAGAAGGATGCAAAGATCAGCGTCGGATGCAGCAGTCCCTGATAGGAGCTGGCGCTTGCCCCAGCGTCCACACCCCTGCTCCTCAGGTGGAGCTCTCAGAAGTGGCCTCTCCACAGTCGGAGCAGGACCAAGCCGCCCTGCGCCCACCCCCTGGACGTGGGAAAGTTCGTCAGAGCCAGAAGAACGGGGTGGAAATCACCGTCCTCTGTTACATGGGCAGCTGTAACCAAGCTGTTTGATTTCTGGCCCTTATTTTCACCAGCTTTAACATGTGGACAGTATCATGGGGTGATAGGGAGGATCACATACGCTTACATTGATAAAGTGCTAGCAAAATGCAGATGATGTGGATAGAATCCCCAATAGTGGGAGCAGTTTTACCTGTTTTGCCTGCCTGGTACTCGGCGAGATCAAGCTCCCCTCCTCAGAGCTTACTGAATCCCTTTACCATTTTAAACCCTCCCTGTATGTGGCTGTTCCCAAACCCAGCTCTATGCTGGCATCATCTGGGTGACTTTGACACATGCCAGTCCCACCCGCTGAGACCGGATGATCCTAATTTGAGTCAACTTGGGCATCAGTACCTGTAAAAGCCCCCCAAGGACTCTGCGTGATCAAATCTGGGAACCACTGATATAAACCATGACTCCCTTGCTTTATAATAGCAGGCTTTTGTTGAATGCGATGATTTTATAATGAAATCACAAATGAGTCCAATCTACCCACTAACGACAGCTAATCAACCTGCAGATAAAGAACTAATTGGAAAGAATCAGCTTTGTGGCCCCAATTTGGGAGGTGATCTGGGTTTGTTTTATGGACTCTCATTCTATGGGAATGATCATAAAAATACTGCAAACTCGTAAATAATCGCCCAGTTAATGGGGCCCAAGACCAATGAGCAGACGCTTTGTGGGGGGGGGGCGTCGGCTCTGCTCCGAATGCTGTGTGTGCTCAGGTGTCTTTACTTCTTCTCAGGGTGCGTCCATGAGCGCGTGGCACACCACTGCTGGGAGCGCCGGGAAAGCGTGGCCGACACACTGCCAGTTCAAACAGAAATCTCCCCGCCCGGCTCCACTTTCCAGAAAATGCCAAGCGTCATAAAATGCAAAGTCAGTTTTCGCTTCAGGCTCTGAGTAGCAGATGGTTCTTTGGCCAAAGGCAGGGAAAGCGCACCGCAGAGTCTGGTGATGCGGGGAGGCCGCGGCCAGGAAGCCGCGCAGAGCCCCGGTGGCCAGACCAGCCGTCGCTGCCAGGCCCGCACCCAGGAGGCAGGGCCGGCCGCCAGGTCCTGGGCAGCCTTTTCTGGAGACTGGGTACTGCTTAATGATCAAGCGTGGGACTACAGCAGGGGAGGGGCAGAGTTGCGTTAGGAACAGTGACGTGAGAAGTGACCATGGTTGTTTGCACTCCGTGGTGAGGGAAGAAAGAGCTCGTCAGCCACTCTCCTTCAAGGAGGGAGGAGCCTGCAATTCAGTGCCACCGTGCAGTCACCTGCATGTCGGGTGCTTGACGACCATCAGGATCCCATGTGCCGTCCATCTCGGTGGGTTCACCCCGAGGCCAGGCACCGCTGATCAGTGCCCACGGTTTAGCCTGCACTCTGGCCTGTGCCCTCTGAGTGAACCTGGGCACAGTTTCTTCGTCTGCGGAGACCATTAAAACACCTCCCTCTAAAAGCAGTTTCCAGCCTTAGGCAGACCCATGTCTGTGAGTCACCTGGAGGGGAGCACCTCCTCCCGCTCTCCATTAGACAGTCCTCCGACTCCGTGTGTGTGGGAAGTGGAACCAGAAACACCCTATCTGACCAGAAAGTTCCACTCGGCTTCAGAGGAGAAAGTGGGGCCAGAGCTCCCTTCAGGAAACCCTGCTGCAGAGCGTTTCTACCTGGCGAGGGCCACTTGGCGACAGCTCCCAGGAGTTTCCAGGGTGACCGCGAAGCAATTAAAGAGGCCAAGGGCATCGTCCTGTGTTACTGTCAAACCAGGAAACCGCTCATAGGCCACCTCCCTTGGACTCTAAGTGACGGACACTTGTGGTCTCGCCCAGCCACCCGAGGACTCCGAGCAGGGTCGGTGTGGGCCCGTGGGCCCTGGTTTGCAGGACTGCCCTTTCCTCTGTGGGCAGTGTTCAGGCTTGCCACAGTCTGGCAGGAAAACCAGAGTAGCCATGACACTGCAAAGGCGGTGTTTCTCAGAGTGCCTGGCAGCCTCACCGTTAAGTGTCTTCTCCTGGGACATCTCTGCACCGGTGTGCTCCGGGCAGGTTGCTGATGTTCCCCCCAAGTCCATGTGCTGAACCCTTAATGCCCAACCCTGCATGGCATGGCATCCCAGGCTGGGCCCGGGAGGTAACTGGGGTAGATGGGTGCTGTGGGGGGGCCACTAGTGACTGTATAAGAGGAAGAGACCCCAGCCAGCACGCTGCTCCGTCTCACCACATGGTGCCCTCTGAGGTCCCTGCCAGCTGGACTTCCAGCTCCAGAGCTGTGTGCTAAGTAAACCTCTGTGTTTCATAAGTTACCCAGTTTGTGGCATTCAGTTACAGCAACAAAGAAACAGAGACAAATATCAACAGCTAAAGTTGATGATATGGAATCACCTCATTCACCAAGTCATACAATCAGTGAACTATTATCAGAATTATGGAACATTTTTGTCCTTTGTTTCTCAGCAAGTCAAATTAAAATTTTGTGTGCTTTTAACCACAGTAATAATTATACTGATATTAAGTAGATATTAGCAAATGTATTTACAAATTATTGCAGCTTAAGATGGAAAAAACCACATACCAGTAAATTTTTTAAAAATACTAAACTTCAATTTCAAAATTATACACTAGAGAGTTAAAAGAGAAACTTTAAAACAGCAATAAAATCATGGCTTTCAGAGATAAACTGAAGGCGTGGCAAAGATTTTGTCTAACTTGCCGATTCCCGAGGGAAGCAGACCATCTTGCCCCTTGTCAAAGGAGAGATCAGAGAGTCCTGTTCCTGTAAATAAGGGAAGTTGGAGAGAAGGTAGCAGCGGACTCAGTGTGCTTTCCTTTCCTTCCAGACAGAATCTGCTGCAGCGCCTACAGACGAGAACCATTCCCCCTGCTCTCGGGTACCCACAACTCACACAGGCATAACACAGCTCCAGGCAGCGGGGTGCAGAGCCCCGGGAAGAATCAGATGATGCCCGAGACTCCGGCCTTCTGCTGAGAGGAGATTTAAGTAGTCTTTCTGGTTTATTTCAAAGCCTTAATTTTTACCTTACAAAAGATGTCTGGTCATTGCTGTATAATCTGTTTTCTAAAAGAGTGAGCTTTTATCACGAGGAGCAGTTCTATGAAGGAACGTTCTGTTCAGCCCGAGCTGCTGGCTGTGTGGCTGATTGCCACCAGCGGAGGAAAAACATGGGGAAGAGTTAGAAATGCCCCTGAAGACCGCTCACCTGCGTCCTCTCTGGACTCTGTTGTGTGAACATTTCTGTCATCAGAACAGGTTGGGCCTTTGCATAGAAATGTGGGAGAAGCCTCTGGCAGGGCAGCAAGGGACCAGGGTGGGTTGGGAGTCCCCGGTGTGGCTCGGCTTGGTCCACACCTGTGACTTAGATCGGCAGGACGGACGTGTGTGAGAAGTAGCACCATGGGCTGCCCAGATCATCGCTGGAGATCATCATCTGCCTTTGAGGGGATGAGATGGCTGGGGCCACGAACAGCAGGCCCTGAGACGCGGACTCCCGGGCTTCCGGTTCTCAGCTTCCAATCCACTTAATACCCCCGTGGGAAAGCCTCAGGCCTGGTCCACTGCTCTCCCTGGGTAACACGCACTGCTCTTCTGTGCCACTGTGATGACACATGGGCCGGCCGGGAAGGCCCCATCTGGCAGGACTTCCCCAGTGCTGCCCTGTTTCCTTCCATTTGAAAATCAACACTGGCTTTCTACTCACCAATGACGATAATGTCGTAAACTTGCCCTTAAAGAGATGGATTTTCATGCAAAACAGACCTGGAGGACCAGAGGGAGGCACTGTGACATGGGGCAGGGGCAGCCCGGAGTCTGTCCAACCTTGAGCCCTTCGCCCACTGTGTGACCCCTGCAGGACACACACCTTCAAGGTTGGGGTCTCCCTAGGCCTCTCGCCCTGTGTTCCCAGGGTACGTGGAGAGGGCTGGAGAGCCCCGCGGGCCAGAGGGCTCAGACAGAGGGACCTACACTTTCACATAGGAGTCCTCCTGAGGATAAGGCTGACAGGTGGAGACTGAGGTGACCAAGTCACCAGAGTGGCCCCAGGGGCAGCTGAAGAGTGTGCCCTGTGCCTTCTGCCTGACCGGCTCACTCAGCTGCAAAGAAGAGCAGCACCCCCGAGCTGCACCTGGAAACGCAGCCGGCTGGAGGGTGCCGTTCCCCAGGAGTCCTGGGACGTCCACAGGCAGACCTGTGCTCCAGCCTGGAAGCTGTCCTGTGGGAAGGGTCTGTCCCAGATGGTGCTCAGCACAGAGACGACACTAAGCTGTGTCCACAGGAGGCGAGCTGGTCAGCCTGGCTCAGCATGTTAGGCTGAGCTTCGTGGGCACCACTCTGGCCCTTGCACCAGTCCTCCCACCCACACTCAAACACAAGCAACGCCATCGCTGCCCCTACCACGATGGCACCATGCCTCGGACACATGGAAACATGTTCGTGCTCCATGCGGAAGGAAGCGTGCCGGTCACCTGGTGGCGTCTGGCCTGGTGGCTGTTCTAGTTCAGCCACAGTGGTGCCTTGACATCCCGTACCTGGGAATAGCATTACAGATGTGGCTGTCACCATCACACCACGCATGAGGTGGGGGAGGGAAAGAGGCCAGGAGACAGGGAGGGAGCGGCTGTGCGTCCCTGCGGCGGGGTCTGCTCTGGAACACACCTCTGGTGGCTCTGTCACTGTGCCAGCACCAGGGTGCACTTAGTCTCTGACTTCGGCAGCCACTGGGCGGGGCCTCGGGATGCAGCAGGAGAGGTGGGAGGCTGCTGGCGGTGCCCGCACGCCAATCCCCAGAAGCCCTGTCCACAGAGGAACAGACTCAAACACCCGGAGAAGCCTGGTGGACACAGAGCCGGGGACAGCCAGCCACCACTGTCCAGGGCTGTCTCTGCACATGATTGTCAGGGCGACAGTTTCCTGCAGTGGCCGCAGAGGGGTCTCTTCACACAGCATCGCCCCAGACGGGAGCACTGCCCAGGCTGCGGCGGGCAGCCCAGCATGGGCGTCCTGAGGCACACGGCTTCCGACCACTCGCCTTCCTAAACAGTTTGTGTTGCACACAGTGAAGCCTGTGAGGACCCACCTGGCATTGTTCCCTAGGAGGCAGCTGCGACTCACAGCTCCCAAGCCCTCCTGGGGAGCGCCCTGGTGGGCAAGGGCTCCTCCTGGGCCCTGCACTCCGCCTCACTGCCCACCTGCTCTGGCACGGCCCTCCGCAGCAGCCGCAGGAGCAGCCCCCACTTCTGCTCTGCCTTCCAGATCTCAGAAATGCACCTGCCTTGGGACTCACATCCCACACCGCAGCTTCCAAGGAAAGTCAGAAAGCAGGACTGCGTGGCTCAGACGGGCAGTGTCCCCGAAGCTCGCGTACCAGAGGGCAAGGATTGCCAGAGGGGAAACGATTGGGTTTGGGTTAGGAGAGGGGTTAACTGCGCGTGGCTGTGGGCGGGGGGGTGTGGCTGGAGGAGATGGCCCGTGGGGACTTGGCCTCTGGGGTCCACATTTTGTCCCTGGAGAGTAGAGCTCTCTGGAGCTTGCTCTGCGTCCTCGTGGCCATGTCCTGAGCCGCCCCCTCGGCCGTGTTCTTCTGACGTGATATTCTACCTCACTCACCTTGGGCCCAGAGCCATGGAGCCGGTCATCCATGGACTGAGACCTCTGAAGTCATGAGACAAAATAAACTTTTCCTCCTCAAATCGTTCTTGTCAGGTCTTTTGGCCACAGAGGAGAAGAAAGCTGACTGACGCCAGGTGGACTGGAGGTGGCCCCGCACTCCACACCACGCCCTCTCGCCCAGGCCCCTGCCCACCCCCAGGACCTCATAGGTTCCCCAGCCTTGGAGGACAGAGGGTAGACTGGCGCTCTCTTTGGGATGTGGACGTAGACCGCCGCCTTTACTGCGCAACACAGCACTCACAGGAGGACGGGCAGCAGCTGAGCGGGCAGGCAAAACGTGTAAGTGACCGCGCCTTCGGATAAGCCAGGATGGAAAGCAGCTTAGATCCGCTCTTGGCAGGCTTTGCTTCGCTGCATTTTCATGAAACTTAAAAACAAAAGCACTTGGCTTTCAGAGCTTCTGAGATGTGGGATTGCAGGTGAGACATTGGAGGTCTCTACCGGCTACTGTTATGGGCCAGGCTACACGGGCAATGACCAGCAGACTCCATTTTACCCCGAGACTCCATATCATGTAAGAAATGCTTCTCCCATGGGAAGACCTGCCTGGGCCCACTAATAGTCACCTAGCACAGCTCACTTGGCTACACAAATGGCAATTCTTATACAGTGTAAAACTGGTCGCTTTGGTTTCTATTTTTCTTGGGCAATGTACCTTGTCAGAGATTGATTGTGTTGATGTTGGTAACCGTCCTCTAATGTGTACTGAACTAGGGCCGTTTTGAGCCTATAAGGTCCTTGCTCGGCATCTGGACAGCCATCTCAAGAGACAGCCGTCATTTTAAGGAGAAAGTCTCGCCTTCCTGCCCAAGGTCCTTTCTGAGAAAGGCCCAGCACTCCCGATTGCCAACCCCACCCTTAACCCCCCTAGGACCCACTGCTCTGAGTCCTCAGCCTGAGCTATAAAAATCCCAGAACCCTCTCTACTGTGGAGACGTGGCCTTTACCTGTCAGCTCTGACAGATAGACCCTCGTGTGTCTCTGCCTGCCTCCATCTGCCGTTCTTGCTCCTCCACAGCCCCAGATGTACCCAATTCCTCCAGTGCTTCCAAGATTCCCACAGCACTTATCTGCATTTGAAGTTGGAGAAGCACGCTCCAGCTGGTGGGTCCAGTCACACTGTTCAGCAGTTGCTTTTAGCAGCAAGTCATCGTGCCAGCAGCAAAATCTTCTGGTGATAATTTCTTTCAGCATTTAGCTTCCTAGTGTCACTGGAAATCAAGGTCACTAAGGTTTAAGAATTTTAATTAACAAGAGCTGAGGACACAGCTCAGTGGGAGAGTGTTTGCCTAGTGACACAACGTCCCAGGTCCATCCAGTTCCACAGGAAAACAAAGCACTCCAGAGCATGCAGTTGGAAAGCCTCCCTGCACCGGCGCACAGACGGCTAGGAGGTGCAGTGGGTAAAAGCAAAAAATAGCTATAAAAAAAAGAGCTTGATTTTTGTCCTAAGGTAGAATGACTTCTTGTTTTAAAATAAGAGATAGGAAAGTCCAGGGCGCTGGGCGGACAGCAGACATGGACATGGTGAAGGAAGACGAGTCTCATGAATGTCCTGTGAGGCCCAGCTGGCCAGGATCTTGAGCAGAAATGCCAGAGGTACCCTGACGCAAGGCTCTTCTCTGGACCTCTTTGTTAAGAAAGGTTTTCTTCCAGTGTGGCTCTGCTCTTAATTGAACTCTGAAAGGAGAGTTTCTTCCAGTGTGGCTCTGCTCTTAATTGAACTCTGAAAGGAGAGTTTCTTCCAGTGTGGCTCTGCTCTTAATTGAAACTCTGAAAGCTTTTTCTCTACCTTTTAAGTAATTGGCCTAGAAAGCAAAGGTTCTGTGTTTTACCAAGATAATTTCCTGTGCTTAATGTGTTCTTTGTCAGTTTTTGCGTAATTCAAAAACTCAATCCTTTCCTTTAAAAGAGCTAAGATTTTGCCAGCTGTGGCGGCACACGCCTGTCATCCCAGCAACTCAGGAGACAAGACAGGAGGTCCCCAAGTTCAAATCTAGACGAAGGCAGGAGGTTCCCAAGTTCAAGTCCAGCTTAAACAACTTGTGAGACCCTGTCTCCAAAAGTAAAAAGCCCTGAGGACGTAGCTCAGTTGTAGAGCACCCCTGGGTTCAATCTCTGGCACTAAAGGAAAAAAATTTTAAGACTAAGATTTTTTTACAACTATGTAATCATCAGTATTTTCCCTTGAAGTCTTTAAATTGTTACTTGTAATTCTATTTTGATGGGGTTTTAAGTGCTTGATCTTTTTTCACAAACTTAAATTCTGAATTAAGCCTTCTTCTTGACCATGGATCAATTTTGGAATTCTCCAGATGGGTCCCAAATTGGGCTCATGTGACAGATTAAATTATGTGGAAAACATTGTCAACAAGCAAGCCTTCTCTGAGTTCTGTTTGTGTGGATGTGTTACTAGTATACTTCAGCAGCAGGTGTTCTAGTGAAAACAGACTGGGGTGAAGGGAGGGGGCGCAGCTGCAGCTCTGGGGAGGTCCCCGCAGGCACATCTCCACCAGGGCTCCACCTGCCGTCAGAGCTGCAGACCCACCGACCTCCCAGCAGAGACGCGCTCTTCTGGCCTGTTTCACTGTGGGCTCTTTCTAAGATGTCCATTGCCCTAACCATGTTGTGCTTGTCCAGCTGGACTCCCTGAGGATCCCGCTCAGTGCATAGGAATGTACTCTCTGCTTTGAAATCGACAGTGATAAAGAATTAAAAAGGAGCATTAGTTTGGGTTGAAATCCTATATTTGAAAAATTTAACATGTGTGATTAATATTCTTGGTGAATATTTTAAATAAGTCTCTAAAACCAGTTTTGTCCCTTTGGGAGCTTCTTAGGAGCATAATTTATTCACTCATTGCTAGTTAATTTGAGGTCTTTGAGTAAGAAACAGATACCTAGGGAAGGAAGAAATCACATTAAAAATTTCCGATTGAAATATTGTGGAATGGATGGACACCACTACCCTAGGTACATGTATGACTGTACACGTGGTGCGACGCTACATGGTGCACAACCAGAGAAATGAAAAGTTGAGCTGCAATTGTGAACAGTGAATCAAAATGCATTCTGCTATCACATATACCTAAGTAAAATAAATAAATAAATAAATAAATAAATAAATAAATAAATAAATAAATTTAAAACCATTTCCAATTGCTAATTTGGAATTCTGCAAACAAGATTTTACTTCCCTGGGGCCAGCAAGCATCGGGGGAGGTGCTGTCTAAATGTTTTCTGCTACTCTGTATCACAGTTTTATAAGATGAATTTGGGGGCTCAATTTCCAGGGGATGCTTACATGCAGAGAGGTTAAGTGACCCTCCAGAGCTTCTCCAGCTGGTGTAAGGGACCAGGATTTAAATTGCTCTGTGCAGGGCAGTGTGCCTGGGAGGGTGGGGCCTGAGTCTTCTCAGGTGTGAAAGAGCTGGAAGAAATTGAGTAGTGAAAGCACCCTATTCCTTCCTTCAAGCATAATACTTAGACTTTCTCTTTCAGTGCTTTTCCTAAAAGAAAAACTTTAAATTTAGTGGATGTTATCTATGCAAAGAAGGATTTGGTACCCTGAACCAGGAAGGTCTGACTGTTACCAGCTGGTAAATGACAGAAGGCTTCTCCTACCTGGTAAGAATAGGTTTTGCAGAATGATTTCAATCTGTATAACACTGAGTCGTGTCAGAGTTTGTAAGAGCAGAAAATCATGAAGTTCCATTGTTGGAGGCACAGCTTCCCTTCCCACTTTATGAGGCTCAGTCTGTGTCTTTCAGTGGGAGGGGTCTGATGCTGTGGGCTGTGACCTCTGTCCCATCCCAGGGGATCCCACAGATTCAGTGCCCTCTGCCTCCTGCCATGTCTTCTCTGCTGAGCCGTGCTCTGCCCTCTGGTGGGTGGCTTGTCCGAGCATTGCAGTGACCTTGGTGACTGGCAGATCGTACCCTGGTGGGTAAAGCTGACAAGCAAATGTGGTGCACGTTCAAAGGAGTTTCTGGTTTCCAAAGCCAGAGAGAAGATGCACCGGCAGACGAGGGCCCCCCGTCTCTCAGAAGGAGAGCCCACGTCCAGCCCACCCAGTGCCCAGGACGTGACTTCATTTGGAAGCAGGGTTCTTGCTGCAGGTGTGATCCAGTTAAGATGAGGTCACCCTGGATGACAGAGGCCTAATCCAACCATCAGTGTCCTTAGGAGAGGGAGACAGTTGGACACAGGGACACACAGGGACAATACCACGCCGTGATGGAGGCAGAAGAGATGGGAATGACCCCTCTGCCAGCAGGGAGCCCGAGGATCGCTGGAACCTCCGAGGCCAGGAGAGACCCGGGTGCTGGCTCCTCCAGAGCCCAGGGAGACTGGGGCCCGGGCAGCCCCAGGTCTGCTTGATAACACATTCCACTCTTAGGACACCCGTGTGACACTGGTCACAGCAGCCCTAGGAATCCCAGGTGCCCACTGACTCACTGTCCAGGCAACACTTATGGATGCAGACGGGCTTCCTGCTGGCCACAGGAGTCAGAAATACTGATAAAGTCACGAGAAAGGTCAGTGTGAGGTCATGAGGAAGAGGTAGGGCCAGACCCAGGGAAATGGACAGCAGAGCACAGACTGCAGCTGTAGCCTTCAGTGAGAAACTTGCAGAAAAGGTCATTTTAAAACAGGACATGCGGAGGCCATGGCCTCTCCAAGAAGGAAAACGCCTGATCAATATTCTGACTGCTTTAAACCCACAGACCCGAAGGTCCACACAAAGCCTGGACACAGCCACCACGGGCAGCCCTCCTGGGCCCCTCCCAGAGGCAGGAGATTTGCTTTGGTAAATTCTTACCCTTTGCTTCCATTTGTCACCCTCCATGAAGACCATCTTCTCAATTCACAAGACCAGGAACCCACCCGACTCCATGCTCCATGGGACATATTTTGGGGACCCATCTGGGATCTGCAGAAGGGTGACTGAAGCT